AGTTCTATAAATGTCTGTTAATCCCAATTGGGTCATAATTTCTTTACTTCCTTCGTCTCTTTGTTAAGTTTCTGTCTGGTGGTCCTGTCCAGTGGTGAGAGTGTGGTGTTGAAGTCTCCCACTATACCTGTGTGAGGCCTTATTTGTGATTTGAATTTTAATAATGTTTCCTTTACGAATGTTGGTGCCTTTGTATTTGGGGCATAGATGTTTAGAATTGAGACTTCTTTCTGATGTATTTTTCCTGTGATGAATATGTAATGACCTTCTACATCTCTTTTGATTGATTTTAGTTTGAAATATATCTTTTTAGATACGAGGATAGCTACCCCAGCTCGTTTCTTGGGTCCATTTTATTGGAGTATCTTATCCCAATCCTTTACTCTGAGGTAATGTCGGTCTTTGAATTCATGCTGTGTTTCTTGTATGCAGCAGAAGCATGGATTCTGTCTTTGTATCCAATCTCTTAGCCTTTGTCTTTTTATAGGAGAGTTAAGACCATTAACACTGAGGTAAATTAAGGTCCACTGGGTGTTTATGCATGTTTGCTTTTGTTTTGTTTTTGGTACAGGTATTCAATGTGGAATTACCCTGTCTTTCGTTTTGTGTTTATGTAGAGTGGGATTATCTATTGCCTATGTTTCTGTGAGGGTAGTTAATTTCTATCGTTGGAGTTTTCCTTCCAGTACTTTTTGTAGGGATGGATTAGTGGTTACATATTGTTTAAATCTGTTTTTGTTGTGGAATATCTTGTTTTCTCCATTTATAGTGATTGAAAGCATTGCTGGGTATAGTAGTAGAGAACATAGTAATCCATGTTCTCTCAGACTTTCTCGAATATCTATCCAGGTTCTTCTAGCTTTCAGAGTTTCCATGGAGAAATCTGGTATAATTCTGACAGGTTTGCCATTATATGTTACTTGGCCTTTTCCCTTGCTGCTCTTAAATTTTTTTCTTTATTCTGTGCGTTTTGTGTTTTAATTATTATGTGACAAGGGGACTTTCTTTTGTGGTCCAGTGTATTTGGCATTCTGTAGGCTTCTTGTGCTTTCCTTGGCATGTCGTTCTTTAGGTTGTGAAAGTTTTCTTCTATGATTATGTTAAATATGTTTTCTGCACCTTTGAGTTGGGTTTCTTCTCCTTCTTCTGTACCTATTGTCCTTAGGTTTGGTCTTTTCACGCTGTCCCATATTTCCTGGATATATTTTGTTATGGATTTGTTAAGACTTCAGATTTTCTTTGCTTGATGAGTTTATTTCCTCTAGTTTGTTTTCAGTCTCTCAGATTCTGTCTTCCATCTCTTGTCTTCTGTTGGTTATGTTTACATCTGTGTTTCCTTATTGTTTACTCAGCTTTTCCACTGCCAGCATTCCCTCAGTTTGTATTTTTAAAATTGTTTCTAATTCAGTTTTCAGGTACTGAACTCATTCCTTCAGTGTTTAATTGTTTTTTCTTGGCTTTTTTGCCTTTCCTTGATTTCTTGCATCTTTTGTTTTGTCTTTTCTTCCATTTCTCTGAAGGATTTTCTGATTTCCTCTCTTAGGTTCTCTATCATCTGCATGAAGCTGTTTTTAAGGTTGATCTCATCTGCTTCTTCTGTGTTGGGATGTTCATGTCTTGCTGGTGTAGTGTCCCTAGACTCTTGTTGTGTCATATTGGTTTTCCTGTTGTTGGATGTGTTCTTATATTGTCATCTTCCCATCTCTTGTTCCAGTGGGTACAGTTGGTGTCACTTCCTTTCCTGGTGAGTATGGGTCCAGTGTTCTCTTCAGGTGTGTGCAATTGACTTTGATACTCTGATGGGTTTAAAGTTTGGTGCAAGCAGGTCTGAGGCACTCTCTCTCCAGATGGGTGAGAGAAGCACCGGTGCAGTGATGTCAGCAGACTCTGGGTTGCTTGGTCCTCAGGAGTCAAGTTCTCCTTTCTAAGATCCCTGGGCAGGGTTTGTCAGGGTGGGAAAACAAAAGTTGCGCCCCAGTTAGGGGTGCAATCAGCTCACCTATGCAAACTTTGCACTCTGTGGAAGCTGGAATGGCACAGTGATGTCAGCAGAGTCAGGATCCCAGGGTTCTCAGGGATCAATTCAGTCTGCCTGCAGATCCTGGGGTGGGATTTGCCAGGGCAGGCATGCAGAAGTTTGGCAAAAGTTAGGGGCCGAATCAGCTCACCTCTACACTCTCTGTGGGCTGGAATCACTCGTCTGATTCTTAAAGTGTGTTGATTTTATAAATCATCTTGGTGAATTTATTCATGAGATATTTAAATCATAATGTGTATTAAACAAAAATATAACTCTTTTATTATGTATCAGGGTCCAAATATAGGTATAAATATTGGAAATAATAAAAAACAACTATCTTATTTTTAAAAATGTCAAGCAGTATATTTCTGGTATATATTACATGAGGAAGGATTCTGTTTATCATCTGTGTATATACACCTATAACTTACATGATTTACTCTTCAGAAAAATGAGTATGTTTAATTAGAACCTCCTGAGTCATTTTCCATAGTACATTGAGCTACATCCAGAAATATGTGACATACCTGTATTTAAGACGCAATCTGGAAAAGTTTTAGGACAACTTATCACTTGAAACATTGAAATCATAGATATAGCATAGAGGAAATCTGTTTTAGTAAAATCATCATTGAATTTATATGTTTTATTCTGAATTATAGAGAGAAGCCCTTTTGATAATGGTGAACATTACCAAAATTTAGTTATTTGAGATTTTTTTTAGGTAATGAGACATATTTGACAGAAATTTTATGTACTGGGAAGATATTGAAATACATTATTTTAACATCACAAGAATTGAGAATGTACAAAGAAGTCTCTAATATATTAATGAAAATGAGCATAGCTAACATAAATGAATAATGATTTGAATAGTGGTCTATAGAAAATTGTAATGGAGTAATGAAGTAACAAGTCACTTTATTCCTTCTGAAAATACAAATAAAATTCCAACTGAAAACCATAAGAAATACATTACAATTTAACTGTGCTCAATGACTGAGCATTCACAAAATAGTGGAGGTAATTAAATTCTCACACAGGTGTTAGTGAACTGTAAACTCATTCTGGAGCCTGCCTCTATTCATACTAATCCTGAGCATCAAACCAAAAGTACAGCAGCTTAGTTCTTGGTAAACAGAAGTCAGTGAATCCTCCACTTATTTCCAAAAGGTCAATGAACAAAGAGGCATATCATCAATCTGTAATAGGATTATGAAGTTGATTCTCCACTCATTGTACTGATGGTTAATAGAAAACAAAAGCACATGATGGAATAATTAAAACTAGTATAGCTTACAGTGTTATTTTTTAAATTCTACAATTTGGAATAGCACACCTACATTCATGAGTGTCACAAGGCACAAGATTGGGTCTTGGGACAAGATGAAGTGATTAAATGGAAGAGAGAATATATGTATCTTGCAGACTCAGGTATGTGACCCTGAATGCACAGCACGCTTCAGTATTTAAATTTTTATTTCATACTCCAGAACTATTTCTTTTTCATTTTTCATAAAGGTAGTTTGCCATGATTGTCTTCAGTAATGTGCTTTAAAAATGTTTGTGGCCAGGATTTGGTTGTGCATGCCTTTAATCCCAGCAATAGGGAGGCAGAGGCAGGCAAATCTCTGTGAGTTTGAGGACAGCCTAGTCTCCAGATCGAGTGCTAGGATAGGCTCGAAAGCTACACAGAGAAACCCTGTCTTGAAAAACAAAAAGACTCACTTGAGTCCTTGTAACTCATATGCACATAACAACAATTAGTGAACAAGAAGAGTATACAAAATTGAACAAAATGAAAAGAGGTGCATAATGGAGGGTTTAGAGGGTGGAAATTAATGTAAGGAATGTAACAATTATGTTATTATATCAAACATAAAACAAATAGACACAATAATAAGACCAAAATAGACACATATAAAAAGTGTCATAAGGGATAGACTAATGATTTACAATGGTGCAGTTATAAACCGTGGGTTTTAAAAATATACAAAAATGCTAAATGTAAGTTATTCCACATGTTAGAGAAAGGAGTCTCAGAGAATAAACAAGTACTGCAGAGTCCTGATATTCATCTTCTTTGTTCCCAATACTGTATGAGATGTTCCTATGTCTAAGAACAACAGAGACCTTGGTTTTGACTTGTGAAGAAATCATCAAAGCAAGGATGGTCCTTGATTTATAAAAAGTAAAGGATTATTTACAGCTTGAATATAGAGCTCACTTGCACAAGTGCATGGTATTTCTGAACATCAGTATTTTTATAGACTGTTCCATCTTATTTGTTTTTTCAATCAATGATATCTGTATGCATTACCAGTGGACATCTAATAGAATTTTTCTATTACTTATACAGTTATTTTTAATTATATCTCTTGTAGATCTTCAATGTTGATAGGTGAATTAAATGTACTGGAAGAATAATGTAGTCAATATATAGAAAGGTTTAAAAATATTTTAAGCCATATTAATATCCTTATAGGAAACCTTGTTTCAGTTTAATGTATTATCTTCCAAGAGTGTGGTTATTCATGCCAGGGATTTAAATTCCTTTAACTGCACTATATTATGCTGAGGCTTGAAATTGGATTTAACATTCATGTCACATTTGTTTGTGAATCATATATTAGATGTGCATATGCATTGTGTGACCTTTATCTGGTATACTTGTGGAGGTAAAATTATTACTTACAAATGATCTCTCTCTCCAGGAAATAATTTCCTTCTGAAGAAATAGGCCATCATTCCAAAATAACCTGAGATAAAGAATAAGCTTATTTGTTTAGGGTATGAGATCGTACAGCATTCAGCAGGGAGAAATAAATAATGGAAAGATGTCAGTTCATGTAAGGCAAAACCATTGGTTGATTCCATGACACACCCTATAAGTAGCTTTATAAAACATTGTGTCAGTTCAGTTCCTTCAAAACCAATAGCCTATTTTGACCTTCTGCAGAAGTTCAAGGCAGGCACCACCATGGAAAAGTTTCTGCTGCTGGCTTTGGCAGTTAGTCTGGCTCATGCTCTTTCTGAGGTAAATAAATTTGGTCTGAGCATGTCTGAGGTTCCTCATTAGCAAATGAACCCAAAACATGAGCAATTCCCCAAAGTCCCAGGTCTAAAATGCTATGTTAATTGAGTCATCATATTACGTTGTGTTTTGCTACTTCCCTGAAAATGTAATCATGTACTAATGAAAAATATTATTGATTGATATTTCTAGTAATTTTACTTATTTCCAAGGACTGGGATCAGAGATGCAAATACCACCTCACATTCAAATGCCTGCTTTTATCTTCTCTTTGCCTTTGGTGTTTTGCAGCTTGAAGGAGACTGGGTTAGCACTGCCATCGATGCTGACAATGTTGCGAAGATAGCAAACCAGGGAACTTTGAGACTTTATTTTCATAAAATGACTTGTCTTGAAGGATATGATAAATTGGAAATCACATTTTATGTAAAGTAAGCAAATTGTCAACCATGTAACCTGAGCAGAATATTTGCATTTCTCAGTATTTATGATGGTAAATTTACAGGAGAGTGTTCTGTTTCTGATCAAAAATTTTAAGGCCTCATCTTAAGCAATGTGATTATATTATTTCATGATAGGGTTACTTCTGGACACCATAGAGAAGTGAGTCACTCTCTCCAATTCCATGAGTGTTTCTTAGAAATACTTGTGATTGGAAAACTGTGGTTGAATTTTACACTCTAATATTGCATGCAGGAGTCTCTGAAGATCTCATTTCTAGTCAAGAGGAATATGTGAGCATTTGAGTCAAAACCATACAGGTTATATTATTCAATCAGTGGTCTGATAACGCAAATTCCACAAATGGGTCAGATAAATGTAGGTTGCCATTCCCTTTCTTGGATTTTATAGGTTCAAATATTGTCTTTTACATTTAGATGACAATAGTTAAGGAAATGGTTCATAATACCATAAGTAGGAAAACGATTAGAACATTTGTATCTTACTAACAATCATAATTTTAGGTTACAAAGTAAAGCATATGAAACACATCCATATAAAACTGTTTATGTATTATCACTAGAGTAAAATAGGAATTAGTATGTTGCAAATTATAATCATTGAATTGTAGAGTTTAGAGAAGTAAGGTGTGAGTGTAATCATGACACTTGGCATTATTGGCATAAATGAAGGAAATCATGTATATGATTATGAACAGGATGATATATTCTAAAGGAAATGAAGAAAAGAAAGGTAAGCATAAGAATTAGGTCATAGCTGTGTGAACAGTTCATTGATCATATTGTTCTCAATTTTATTATATCATTTGGAGACCTTTACTATGAATTCTAAGGTTATAAAGAATGAACCATCACCTCTCTTGCTTTTTAGTTTGAGTGGACAATGCTCAAAGACAACAGTTGTTGTGTATAAGCAAGAAGATGGCAACTACAGAACCCAGTGCAAGTATAAGAACTGGGCATTCCTCTATTAACTAAAGCATTGTGAGTGGATACATTCATGATGACTTTTCATCTACACACAGGCATAACTAACTAGAAACTAATTGCTACTTTGAAAGTTATCATTCCTTCCAAGGAACTAGGATGTGATACAAAGCAGAGTATGTTGTAGGTCTTCTGAAGCTTACATGGAAAAGAACACTATTATGTAAAGATGTGAATAATTCAAACAAAAGTCTCCAAAAATTTCCTGCATGGAAATTTATTTCTACTTAATATTTCATTTTTTATATTGTGTCTGCACATGACTGCTGCTCTTTAATGCAGTTCAGTGGCCTCAATCGTATATGCAAACTTCATGCTTCAGGCTATTAAGTACTAATATTACAGACATTATCTGTCATCCTTGATTCATTGAAAATACAAATTAACAGTGTCATTTCAATGTTTCCTTTCCTCATATTTTTGTAGAGATCATAACATTTAGACTTTTGAAAGATAAATGTCATTTTTTCAAAGCTTTTAGTGGAAAATCTGTTTATGAATGTGAGAGTAACTATTTCAATTTTGTGAGAATTGCTAGAATAATTGTCATACCAATCAACTAAATTATACACAGTTTGAGTTTTGGTCTGATATTAAATGAACAGAGGGGGCAGTCTTCTGGCAATTCTAATGCTTACCTAACATTACATGGATATTAAAAACAGTTGTAATAGAATGTGACCAGATCCTAAAATCATTTTACTTTGCTATGAACAAATTTATTATTCAATAAATGTGAGTAAGTGGAAATCTGTCACACACACACACACACACACACACAGACACACGTCCAAACACAGAGATAAACAAAAATGCACACAGAGAGGCCCACAGCCACATGATGAATGTCATATAAACTCAAATTGTCCATCCTAACCTATTTTTGTATCACTAATGTCACAAGATGAAAATGTTCATGCATACTACTTATTAAAATGGACTATTTTTGGTCACATATGCAATTGCACACCAAATATTATCATGGCATAATACCAAAGATTTATGCTTTCTGGAAATGACAAGTAGCATTTGATATCTAGCTGAAAAGGAGACTAATGCCCAATAGAGTGGTTTCACAAGTCTTGACAAAAAGAATTCAGATAAAAAGGAAAGTGTCTGTACTTAGGACTCACAATCTTATTTGAAGAGTTAAAATTATATGTAACGATATTATCATGGAATACACAAAATGAATGAGTACAGGAATAGCTTTGTACATATGTGTCATATGATAGCTTTGTACATATGTGTCATACGATACTTTAAAGAGATGACTGCTAGAGGGACACTATTAATATTTAGCAATAATTTGCTATGAAATAAAATGAAAAATGAGTGACACTGAGATTTGAAATATTACCTTTATTATTACAGATGAAGGAGACACAATATTTAAACCCATGATTATAACAAAAGAAATCCTAGTCTTTACCAATGAGAATGTGGATAGAGATAGCCTGGAAACACACTTGATTTTTGTAGCAGGTATATATGATAGTGAATTCTCTAAAAGAGTAGTGAAATTATCACTTTGAAAATGAGGATTACGCCAGGTGTTATTGGTGCATGCCTTTAATCCCAACACTTAGGAGGCAGAGACAGGTAGATCTCTGTGATTTCGAGACCAGCCTGGTCTACAGAGTGAGTTCCAGGAGAGCCTCCAAAACAATACATAGAAATATTCTTTTGAAAACCCCCAAAAAATCAGGATTGGGTCAGATTCAACCCAAAATGCAGTATCAATGGACTTACACACTCCTGTCCATTCAGTGTCAAACCAATTGTTGATTTTACATACCATCTGTTATAATACATTGTAGTTTGAGAAGCAAAGACTTCTATGGTCATGTTTCCTCTAAGCAATGAATGGAGTAAATATGATTTTCTCAATGTTCAGACAATTTAGGGTGTCATTTTATCAAGTAGGTGGAAACTTAAATCATAAATTCTAGATTATATAATAAAGAGAAATGTGAAAGTTACATTGACAGACATTCATGACTCTATCGTGTTCTTTTTTGACAGTGGATAGGATACAGGTGAGTAAATTCTCTAGACAGGAATTCTTGTTCCTGATGAAACACAGGAAAGTGTTAGTGTACCACTATTTAAATTTCATTAAATGTGTTCATGGATCTTGAGGGAAATTATGATTGACAGTATTGACCCAACCAGGATAGATGAATTTAGAGAAGTTGGTATTTTTCATTGCATATTGTAGTAAGACACTAAGGAATCTATGTAAATTCTGAAAAAAATTACTGAACATGTCTCTGTCATTGTCATTCATGCATTGTAGGAAAAGGTGACCACTTGACCCATGAACAATATGGAAGACTTGAGGAACATGCTAAAGAACAGAAAATTCCATCAGAAAGCATTAGAAAATTGCTGGTTTCAAGTAACCTTTGATATTTTTGAGTTATAGCATGTATACTGAGTAATCTACATATCTATATCTCTATTTGTACATAATAAGGTCCTTGATTTATTTTACATCTAATCATATGTTTTGTTTCAGATATTTGTAGCAGTAACCATTGCAGAGCTATTCCTATATTCTTATAATAATATTTCTGTCTCTCCTTATCCATCCCACTCACCTTTTTACAGATACTTTTCCTATGACCCATTACTTAAGGTAAGTACAAACAGAAGCTATGTCCATCCATCTTGATACTGGAGTGCATTTGTGCTAATTACATAAAATATAAGTATGTGACAATGAAAAAAATGAGGTCAAAATTAAGCAAAGTCAAGCCTTAATATCATTTGTCTTTAAAGCTGAAAATCTTACAGTGACAATAATGAAAGACTATTTATAATACTGTCTGAATGATTTTTATCTCATTTTGAATTGCTAATATTTTATATTGATAAAATTCCATTAAGAAAATGTGAATCATGTTTTGAAATTTTGTACTTTACTATTAATTGCCGAGTATTGTTTGTCACAAATATGGTACAAGCATGTTAATGATTTTTCATGTATTCTTTGAGAATCCTCAATCTAATTTTTCATGTAGGGGCACAAAATATCATTATTTCTTGTAGACAGTGCTATTGTAGAATACATAGTAAAAGGAATTGTTGATTTTAAGGAAAGGAACTCTTTTTGTACAATATCTTCTCTATACTCTATATCTTTAGATTTAATCTTGTATTAATATACTTTAAAGGATTAAATCTTTCCTGCCAGCTCAAACATGTTTTAATTTTTTCTTTTTACTGTTTCCACTGTTAACAACAGATTGAGAAATGTGCATCATATACACTTGACCATGGAATCAGTACTGCTTGTAATCCATCTTTTCTATCTAAATGAAAATTTCCCTCTTCTGTGATGTCAAGATACCACACCTCAATTTTTAGGCTTGCATTTTCTTCCATTTCTTATTATTTATGAGCTGAACTTTCCTTTTTAATGATTAAATGATGTGATTCAGTATGCAATAAGAACTTTGTGAAATGGATCTAATTTAAATGCACATAGATATTCCCTAAAATAATTAAAAAATATCACTCATGGAACAAATGATTTCTGTATGAAAACCAAATTACTGCAATACTGAAAATGTTAGGAATAGTGGAGATCAATTGTAAAGTACACAACAGAAATGAATTATAGGTTGTGCTTCAAATTTACTTTCATCTGTACATTGTGGTATATGGTTAATAGTCCTAACACAATAAAAAAGATTCCACATAATCAACTCTTTGATTCTGCCTCCACATTCCATATTACTTAAAAGAGAGGCATAAATCTCTTTTCAAAAGTTCTCTGAGATTATCTTTTGTAAAATATCTTCAGCAGGCAAATGAATCACGATATGTTTAAATTTTAAAAATAAGAGTCATTCATATTTGAAGAATAGAATAAATTCATGACAATAACATTTCATACCTACAAAGCCCTACAAATATGACTTTATAGATTTCAATTTTTCTCTTTGTATTACAATAATTCCTTATACTGAAGTTATCCCTCAAAACAGAAAAGACAGATGCAACATTTCAATGTTTGGAAAATGAAAAGGAGAAGATATGAGACAATGTTGCTCTATACAGTCTCTTGAAGTTTAAAGATATAACAGTTGCCAAGTACATTCAATATATATAATCAACCGATGTTAATACAAGCAAAGACATAGACTTTCATTGAAAGAAAACTGTTATTTATACTTTCTAAGTACTTAATGTACATTCACATAGTTTTCACCCTCATTGTCCAACTAATTACAATGATTACTGTACCGCCAAACTGTTCTTTCATTTCCAATTTCTTTATTTGAATTTGTATGTGATTGTGTCTATACGTGTTTCTTTGTGTATTGAGTAAGAGGAGATGGAGAGAGAAATTAAAAGTCCAACTGCATCCTTTTCATGTTTCTAACATGTATTCAGGTTTAGTGATGGCCCTCAGTCTTCAATTACTTAGAGATGGTCCAATTTTAGAGGCAAAACCTATAGGACTACATCTTTTACTACTAAAATTTGCTATCTAAGCTAAGTGTTCTAATGCCATGGAGGTTCTAAATAACAGCATTCACAAAAAGAACATGCCAATTTAGAGGAAACAAATCTTTATTAATATATTATAAAAGGAACACATGACCATATTTCTTTTATCACCACTGTGATTACAGTGGTTTTAGGTCAGGGATACAGGATTAGTTCAACATACTGAATTCTATCATAACATGTAATTAAGGCCACAGTGCATATTATAAACTCAATAAATCAAGAAAAAGCCTATGGAGGCATTGTACAAAAATTAACAGCCATATTGGTCTAGAAATTTTGAACTTATTTTTTTCCATTTGTACAGGGGTATTGAATATGTATTAAATATGTAAGGTCTTTTTTTAAAAAAGGGATTTTGAGAGATCATACTATGTGAAATGATGCTCTCTTGGCCTGGACACATGGGGAAGGGCCTAGGCCTGGCCCAGGATGATGTAGTAAACTTTGGGGAGCCCCTTTTGAGGGACTTACCCTGCCTGGGGATTAGAGGGGAGATGGCTAGGGGCAGCTGGCATGTTAGCGGGGAGGGAGAGGAAGAAGGGATTGACATGTGAAACAAGCTTGCTCCTAATTTGAACTAGTAAAAGAAAAATAAATAAATAAATGTAAACAAAAAAAGAAAACGCCTGTGAAAAAATGCACCATATTTTCAAGGTAAAATTCCCAGAGAAAGTAGGAATGGAGGAATCTGACTTCAAAATATTAAAGTCTATCTCTGTCAAAAACATGGTCAAAACAATACGATATGTAGAAAAACTACAAGAGAACCTAATACAATCTTAATGAAGCCTGGATGCCCACTATTCCTACTCGTTTACAGTGTTGTAATGGAGGAATGATACTAATATATGAAGTGAGGCAAATTTAAAGCACACATACATGAAAGGAAAAATTTAGTCAGTTCCTATTTTCAGATGACATGGTATTATACATAGGACATTCACATATTATACCAGGACCAAAGTAGTCCAGGCAGTATTTCAGGAAAATGACAAATGTAAGTCAGCTTATAAAAATCAACATCCTTTCTATATGTGAACAAACCAACTGAGAAAGATACCATATTGGGAATAACACAAAAGAGAAAATGTCTCAGCATAAACATAACCAAGAAGAAGGTAAACATCTAATCTCAGGTAAAATAATTAAGAAAAACTCCTACAAAGTGGAAATATATTAAACTTGGAATGGTAGAATTTATATTTGGGAAAAGAACATCATACAATAAGCAAATTAATGATACTATGCAATCTAGAAAAAAAGATTAGTCATAGAAATAGAAAAAAAATCCTAAATTTCATGTGCTACCAGAAAAGTTTCTAGATACTAAGAACAATCTTATGCTTGAAGATGAATGTGGAGCTATTGCCATTTTAGTATACAAGATAATTTATAGAGCTAGAGTGAAAAAGGCTTACCTAACTATGAAGGGCTATTGAAGTTTTTTATCAGGATCCACATGGAGGGCAAGGAGCAGGTGAGAGAAACAGTAGCCCAGAACATGGTTTTGGATGCAAGCTGACTAAGTAGCAATAAGAATGTTTCTTTATTCATAAATAATTCAGTCAGAAGGGATAGATTCATATTGTTCCAAAACATAGATCATACAAGTTTTATTCCCAACATGTGTTTGTTCTATCACTTGCTGATCTGGGGTCATAAGTTTAGTCAACATTGATAAACGGTGACAGAACCAAGTTAACTTTTGTAACCATTTCCCTGCAAGTTTAGTCAACAGAGTAATCTTTTCCAATCATTTTCACACATGAGCCCTGTATCCCATTTTTCAATACTCCAAAAGCATATGACATCTTGCTCTAAGGCTGGCAGTTCTTACCTTTCAATGATGCCAGACAGAAAGAAAATCTCCACAAGAGCCAAGGCAGTTTGCCCTGTCTCAAGCAGTGTACTGTTAACTCTTAATGGTCAGAGTTTCCAAGAAAAATCCTCAGACCAAAGCTTTTGAAATTTTTCATCATATTTTGGTATAATAATATTTTATCTTTATTGAATTTGTTGATACATCTATTCCTGTTATTATTTTGCTCCTTGATCATATGACACCACAGTGGCTCTGCATGCACTAACTTTTCTAAGAACGTATGATTCTGATATCTTCTACTTTTATCATTCTTCCATACAATTATTTCCCCATCAATATAAAACAAGTTGTTGCTGTATATGCAAAATATTTTCCTGATTTTATACTAACAAGAGACCTGTAATCTGAAGGAAGAGACCTGTAATCTGACATGTGGACAAACCTAGCCAACCAAATATTGGTGACTTTTTGAGATTTCATTATGATTATCTTGTTCATGGTGTAAGTACTGGGTCAGATATTTTAAGAGTATCTCAGAGTGACAGAATGTTACCTCTGGCATCTTTATGTGTCACAACCTCCATTGTGACAGGAAGACCTTCAAGTTGATAATGCTATCTCCCTGAAAGAAGGAGAGATAGCATGCTCTGAAGTTTCCTTGGGAAGCTTAGAAGCAGACACCTTGGGAGAAGACATAAATTATTCATAAAAATGCATCACCAATCCAGTGTCCCTAAGTTGTACAAATATTAAAAGTCTCTCCTGAAGTTTGCAACACACAGAGAACAAAGTCCAAAGTTGCATGGCAGTCATCATGTATGATTGAAAGCTTTAGATTTGTGATCTAGACACTAGGTTTTCATATTAGGTTTTGGTGACACAAATTAGAGCAGAACAATGCTATCTTGATGAAAAGTAGAATGTCTCATTCTCTGTCACAGCAGACTGAGAAGAAGGTCTGAGATTTCCTTGATGAGAAGAAAACAGAGGTCAACTTGAATATAGATTGAGGGTAGAGACCATTCTATGAGAAAGTTCTAAGACAGTTGGCCTAAGGGTGTGATAT